AATAATGCACCGTGCCATGGGGGGCGATAGTGACTTGCCAGTGCCCGGAAGCAACGACGACCTGACCTGAACAGATTACCTTCGAGCTAGCCCTTGGCGGGGTAACTGGCGTTCCAAAATCGAGACGCGGCTATCTTCGCTATGCAAGGGCGGGCTGATTGTTCGGCCACCTCGTAGCCTCTCAGCGGTCGAGCCGCACCCACGCTCTCAGGGCCACCTCCTTATCGGCAGCACGCCAAAGAGCGCGATCGTCTTCGCGATGCGAGCGCAACGGGCGGGTCTGAGCACGTCCTGCTCTCTCAACGGCCAGGCCGCAGATGCGTTCGCAATGGGACCTCCTTATCGGCCATGTGGCGGCCTCCGGAAGCCCAACAAAAGAGACACAAATACACACGCACACGCACACACACACACACACACCTGAGAACGCGGTTATCCTCGCAACGCGAGTCCTGGCGAATGGACGTCGCCATCCGCGCTCGCAAAGCAACCTCCTTATCGGCCACACGGACGCACGCGCACACACGCACACACACACAGGAGTACACACTGATACCACATACACAGGGAGGGGAAGGAGGGAGGGGGGAGGAAGAATCCCAGCGTGGAGCGCACAGCGCCACAACATGTAGAAATAATATTTTGACATTTTGGCGGAAGCTCCACTTCGCACGGGAAATGCGTACGGGTATCGCCAGCAGCTCGCACTGGGTAGCTCTGTTTCGCACGGGCAACTTCTTTCGCACGGGGGAGGTCACACTTCGCACAGCCAGCTCTCTCGCACGGGGAGGTCTCGCGTCAAGTCACAACAACGGCGTGTAAGGGCGCATGAGGGAAGGGGGGGAAGGAGGGAGGGGGGAGGGATGGAGAGAGGGAGCGAGGGAACGGAACATGACATGACACTCTTTTTTTGTCGTTCCATGCCGACCTCCTTATTGGCTGTTGCGTGGTTCCCTGCCACACTTCATGTCGCACCGCCTCGCAGCAGCGCATCATTCGCGCCGCCGCCCCGCGAGGTGCAAAAATGGCGCCGCGCCATGCGCGGCACTAATGGCCCCGCAGCCCCCATCACAACGATGCGCATTCGCACCGTCGTTCCGGTGGCCGCTGCCGCCAAGCTACGCATCGCAGCAGCGTGCCATTCGCCACGCCGCTCCGCGAGCTTACGCCCCCTTGTGCCGCGCCATTCGCGGCACCGACGGCCCAGCAACCACCCTTACAAAGATGCGCATTCGCACCGTCGTTCTGGTGGCCGCTGCCGCCAAGCAGCGCATCGCAACAGCGCGCCCTTCGCACTGCCGCTCCGCGAGCTATGCCCTGGTGCCGCGCCATTCGCGGCCCCGCCGGCCCAGCAGCCACCCTCACAACGGCGCGCATTCGCACCGTCGTTCCGGTAACCGCCATTACCATGCAGCGCATCGCAATAGCGCGCCATTCGCACCACCGCCCCGCAAGCTGCCATCCTAGTGCCGCGCCACTCGCGCAGCCAACTGCCTCGCAGACGCCTTCATAACATTGCGCATTCGCACTGTCGTCTCGGAGGCTGCTGGCAGCGCCTGGCATGGCAACCACCGACGCAACAGCGCGCACTCGCACCGTCGCTTCAGTGTCGGCCGCCGTCACGTCACGTGTGCAGCCGCCTACGGCTGCACTCGCCTGTTTTTCGGGAGCGGCCAAGAGGGGGGCGTCCAAGAGGGGGGGGTGCAAATCATGACCGGCGGCATGTGCGGCCCAGCGGGGGGGCCGGGGACGTAATGAATCAAGAAGAGGCGCCCTGAGATCTGGGGAGATATCATGGCCCCCGCCATCATATCCCCCCCCCCAGTCATCACCCCCCTCTTTTCCGCCCCCGAGTTTTCTCGGGTCCCATGCGGCACGCCCGATCAAAAACTACCGGGCTGCCCACTCCTAACTGCGGGAAGCAGGCCCTGCAGCGCGGCCACGCTGTCGCTGGCCATCTGCCCAGGCGAAGGCACGTGCCTGGAGGAGCCCTGGCTCTCGGGCGCGCCGGCCTGTCCTCGCCAGCAGCGCCCCTTCGGTGGATGGTCATGCGGATCGAGTGCTGCACCAAACCATCGGCCGGGAGGGGTTCCTCCCGCTGCTCCGCCAGCGCCGGCTGCGCACCGCCGGCCTCGTCACCAGCATCCTCGAGGACAGCGCCCGTGAGCTCCGCGCCCACAGCCACCGAAAGGCACCGTGCGTCGCTGTCCGCGTCCCCCGTGGTCCGTGGTGGCCACCGACTCGCCAGGGTCGTCCGACAAGACTGCCGGGCCTTCAACATCCTCGGACGGCATCTCGTCGCCACTGTGCTGCTCCTGCTCGCCCGCATTGCCCTCGTTCTCTTCCGCGTCCTCCTCCTGCTCTCCTGCGTCCAGCACGCACGCGTCCCCGATGCTCGCGCCTGCCTGTTTCGCCGCCTGGACCCTGGCCTCAACCTTCCCCGCAAGGAACATTTCTCGGGGCACAACATCAGGGCTGAACGACACGGCTGCCACAGCATCAAGGACACGGCCCAGCCTGCGGAGAGGCGCCGCAAGGGCGTCTCGCGAGTACGTGAGGATGGAAGTGGTTCCAGGCTTGACGTGGCCCCCGAGCAGTCGTCGCGTATTCTCGCCGAGGCCGAATTTGGCAGACCTAGAGAGGAGCGTGGCCTTGAGAGAGTGCGAGCCCACCGCCGTTACGATGGACGGGCTCTCCCCGTAAGCGGCGAGGATCTCCCGGAGCCACAACGTCGCATCTTCGGCGAATAGCCGCCGCTCTCCGAAGCCTCCGCAGACAAGCGGCACAGGCATCAAACACCTTTGCACTTCAGCGTCCAGCCCGGCCTCCTCCCTCGCCCTCAGCCACGCGTCGGCCCAGCACCTGCCACGTATGCCGAAAGCATGGCCCGCGACAGGGATGAACTCAGCCTTTCTTCGCAAGCGCCGCCCTGCCTTCCATCTGAGAGGGTCGGCCTCCACCTCGATGAATGTACCTTTCAAGCGTGGTTCATGCGATACCGAAACACCATCACGTTGCCTCGACCGGGTATGGAGGAAGAGCTGAAAGCCAACAAAACCTTGTCATCTAAAGCAGGGGCCCACTCGACCGCGTCCTCTGGGATCATGGTCTGATTCACGGTGAGCGCCGGACGCTGCACTCGAGGTGGCTTCGAATTGGCCATCGCCCCGCTACACCCCTCGACCGGCGCGTCACCATGCCAGCAAACTCGAAACCAAGCAGCGTCGAGGCCAACCCGAGCGCCTCGAGGAACGAGTCCGCCCGTGACGGGGGCGCCTTCACTGCCAGGAGGAAGTTGACGTAGTCGTACACCGTGCTCTCCTGTGGAGGGACCGCCCAGCCTGCGACAGCTCCTGGACGCATGCGCTCCCACCTCAAGAACATGAAAAGGGAATTCGCCCTCTTATCCAAGGTCGACGTCGCCCCGCTGTACAGGGCGTCTCGCAAGACTGGCTGGCGCCGCTCTTCCGGTCCCCTTCGGAGCTGCAATCCCAAGATCGTGCCCGATGCCGCCTCGGCCACGCGCATCCACTTGGCCAGCGCAGCAGCCCGCTCCTCGTCTTCCCGATCAGCCAGAAGACCTGCTGCAGCAGACGGCCGTTTGGCCACGCGCCGGAAACAGTGAAGGAGCCCAAGGACACACAAATAAATACACACAAATAAAGATATTCCCCATATTTTCTGGGTTTTTGTCTTCCCCACCACTTCCCATATTTTCATATATTTTCTGGGAAATCGAGGATTAATTGTGTCTGTGTGTTTCTGTTCCTCCTGAAACAGGCCTGCTCACCCCAGGTGGGCGCAGACCGAAGCCCCCCTCGTTCGTGCGGCGGCGGTGGCTCTGGCAGAGGCGCAGGAGGTGGTAATAGGCGGAGGCGGTGCGACGGTCCGCTCTGGCTCCGCAGCGGCCGCAGGCCCGAGCACCGCTGTCATCAGGGGGCAAACAAACCTACCCCGCTTTTGACCACCCTCGCTTCCAAGAGATACCAAGCGATGCCAAACTACGGCCTGTACTGGTCATGCCGCTTGACGACGAAGCGCGTGGTATGACTTGGTTTTGCCTGGAAGCGAAAGCGGGGTAGGTCATTCACGCTCTGAGTCATGGGCCCCACCTCCCACGGGAACAGCAGATGCGAAGGGACCACACGCGGGTCTCTGTCATCGTAGAAGTCCGCCATGGTGCCAATCTGCAAGAACGGGTTTGATAACACTGTGGGAGGTCCACACACACAAGACAGGCTTACACTGCTCCAGAGGCCTCTGGAGGCCTCTGGGCGAGTGGGTCCGCGGGAACACAGAGAAACAGCTTAAAAAGTGCGCACACAAATCACATACGTCCTGCCACTGTTTGACATGGCGCGGCTGCGGAACACGAGCATGCGGAGCAGTTGTTCTGGCCAAGAAGCTGGATTACGACGATTCCTCGCATCACAATGGGGCCTCATTTAACGAACGCCCAGGTTGGCACATTATTTTGTGCCCCGTGTTATCTGGAGGCTCTCGGCGAGGCGCAGCCGCAACAAAAACCCCACGGGGCGTCTCCTGGAACGCACTTGCGAGGCGCGGCTGATGTGAGGTCCCGGCCAGAAGGCATGTGTACTGCGCGTATTCTGAGGCATCCGTACTACGCACTGCTCGGAGGCGGCCAGCTATCGGCCACGCGGCGGGGACAAATGCAATGCGGAAGGGGTCAAATACACTTGCATGTTAATTCGACCTTGCATTGGTTTTCACTTGTACCCTTGACCCCATTGGGATTATGGTGCCACGCTGCATTCAGCGACACCTCCAATATTCATTATACCGTCTGGCCGGCCGGCCCCCCGCCTCTGGGCGGCCTCTCCAGGCCAGGGGGGGCTCGGCGGAAGAGGGGCTACTGGCAATAGAGTCACCATAGTGTCAGATACCGTACGAGCGCACCTAGCTCGTCCTTTCCCCTGTCTTCTTTCTCCTGTGTCCTCCTCCTCGCATTCTGCACTAGTCGTCCGTTTCGCGAGCGCCTGCCCCGCGCTGGCGGCGCTGTGGCCGCCGCCTGCGTTCCTCAGGCACTCCGCCGCTTGCCGCAGCAGCAGATGCTGCTCTTTCAGCTGCAACTGCTGCTGCAACTGTTGAAGCTGCTTCGCCACGGCCGGCTTGGGCACCGGGTTCAGACACCTGGCTGCCGGAAGGCGTCCACCAAGGCCCCCGCCCCCGTCCTCCTCTCCTTCCCCCTCTCCTCCCCCCTCCCCTCCCCTCCCTCCCTTCCCCCTCCTCCTCCTCCTCCTCCTCCTCCTCCTCTCCTCCTCCTCCTCCTCCTCCCCCCTCCTCTCCTGCCTCCTCCTCCTCCTCCTCCTCCTCCTCCTCCTCCTCCTCCTCTCCTCCTCCTCCTCCTCCTCCTCCTCTTCAGGATCCACCTCGTTTAACTCCCTCTGCCCCCCCCGAGCCCCCTCGTCCCTGATCCCTCCTTCCCCCCCCTCCTCGCCCTCGTCCCCGTCGACTTAGTCGTCACCATGACCACCACCGCCGACACCATCATCGCGGGCGTCCCACAGGGGGGCGTCCAAGAGGGAGGTGCGCAAGTCATGGCCCGCGGCATGTGCGCGGCCCAGGGCGGGGCCGGGGACGTATCAAAATACGAAGAGGCGCCATGAGATCTGGGGAGATATCATGGCCCTAGCCATGATATCCCCCCTAGTCATCATGGCCGTCCCCAACATCCGTCCAACTCCCTCCGCTGCCCCGTCGGCCCCCTTGTGCCGGCCCCTCGCTCCCCCCCTTCTTCGCCCTCGCCCTCGCCGCCTTCGTCGTCGCCTCGCCTTCATCCTCGCCGCCCTCGCCGCCTGCGTGCCCGTCGCCCTCGTCGTCCTCGTCGTCGCCTCGCCTTGGCCCTCGTCGCCTCCGTGCTCGTCGTCCTCGTCGTCGCCCGCGGGCGCCCGCCTCGGGGGCGCGGCCGATCGGGGGCGCGGCCGAGCGGAGCCGCCGCGCCCGACCGCGCACGGCTCGACGCGCGCGGCTCTCGCGCGAGACGGGCCCCTGGGGGTGGCGGCACGGCGGCGCGGCCGAGCGTCGGCGGCTCCGCGGGCCGCGGCGGCGCACCGCGGCGGACTTTGGGGGGTCCCCTCTGGGGAATCCAAGGGGGGGGACCCAGAGGCTCCCAAGAGGCCTCCTCCTCCTCCTCCTTCTCCTCCTCCTCCTCCTCCTCCTCCTTGGCTCAAGCTTGCCTCACAGGTCAGGTCCTGTGAGCTAGGGCCCAAACTTGACGCACACCCAGGGCTCCAGAAGCCCCGCTTTCTCGAAATCACGCTTCCCAGCAGGCCTCCGCTGCCATTCGCTGCATCGCTGCTTCTTGCGGGAGTGGTTTCGGCATCATGGCAAAAAGAGGCGGCAAGCGAGGCGGCCAGCAGCAGAAACGTGAGTACTTCGTGTGCTCGAACCCCAAGTGCGGTGGCTGGGGCTACTGCGACGTCAGCCAGTTCTGCGGCCAATGCGGGAAGAAGTTTCAAGGTCGTGGCAAGGGACGTGGAGATGACGGGGTATCTTCGCAGACAGTGCCAGCAGGTGCCAATCGTTGGAAAGGTGGAAAGCCTGCTGCCAGGGGCATTAAAGATAATGACAGGCAGGGATCGCATGCTAACTCACCTGACGACATCGCAGCTGCAGCGACATCCACCAGTGAACATGACCAAGTTGCTCACTACCAAGACTTGGTGCAGTTTTGGAAAGAACGGGAAGGCTCTAGCGGAGCCAACTACATCAAGGCTGTCGAACAACTCAAGACGGCCAAGCAGACGGTGCTCAAGGCCAAACCGCTCGACCAACAGGCGCAGTCGCTGCGGGGCCAGATCGAGAGGACCAAGGAGCGCATCACCAAGGCCGAGCAGCAGTCCGAGGAGAAGCTCGAGGAGATCACCAAGCTCGCCGACGAGTTCTCGGAGCTGCAGGTCACCATCAACACGGCGCGCGAGGAGGTGGCGCAGTTGGAGGCGCAGCACGCGATCACGGCGCATTCAGTGGCAACCAACACGCCGAAGCCTCGCGCCAACAACCCCTTCCCGTCACTCAGTCAGCTGCGTGGCAAACTCCAGCAAGGACCTGTACACAGCGTGCCGCCGCACATTCAGCAGCAGGTGTTCGCGCTGGAGGAGAGCCTCAAGCAGGCGGTGCAGCAGCTGCCAGCGCGGCCACACCAGGCCCCCGAGGCGCCCCCCCAACAGGTGGAGGGCGCGACAGGCGGCGCCGCCTCCGCAGGCGCCGCCCCAGGCGGCCTCAGCCAGCAGCAGCCTGAGGGGGCCATTGTGGCCGCGGCTGTGGCAGTTGAGCCAGCCGCAGCAGCGACAGCTGAGGCGCCAGAGGCTCGGCCAGCGCCGGGTACACCTGACGACTTCGGCTTCCCGAAGGTTGGCGACACGGAGGAGAGCGCTGCCGCCATGGACCGATTCCAAGGCAGCACCCAGAAGAGGCTCCTCAGCGAACGGAACGGGATCCAGCAAGCTCTCGGCACCATCGCCAAGGAGGACAACTCCAGCCAGGAGGCCAAGAAGGCCAGGCAGCTGGCCCAGAAGGCCCTCGAGAGGGCGGCGGCGGCCAAGGCTGCTGGCAAAGGCGCGGCTGACGCGCCATATGGGTAACAATTAGCAGCTCAGCATCATCGCCATCAACGGGAGCTGTTGGCCTGCAGTGCAGAAGCTAGTTCAATCTGATGAAGTTCAAGACACCGCTGCCTTCTGCGCCCAGGAGGTCAAGCTCCGAGGCGACAAGCTTTCCCAAGCTATTCAGCGGTGTGAAGTTCGAGGCTGGCATGCAGTCATCTCTGAATGCGACGTCGGCGAGAACAACTACAACAGCAGCGGCACGTGCATACTCATCCGTACTGGACTCAACATAGGAGTTCAACCTGCGCCTCTTCCGCCTTATATTCCTCAGAGTCGCGCTGCTGCTGCCATTCTAGAACTACCAGGGCACAAGCCCATCGTTTTCCTCTCCATGTACTTCGAGGCCTCTGAGGGCCCCAACAACACAAATTTGCACCTGCTAGCGACAGCGGGATGGTGCCAGCAAAGATATCACATGCCGGTCTTCGTGGGGGCTGACTTCAACATGGACCCGTCCATGGTTTCAGGCTCAGGAGTGCTAGAGCGTGCAGGACTGGCCACGGTGCACCCATCTGGCTACACCCTTTTCACCAGCAAGACGCGCAGCAAGATAGACTATTTCATGATGAGCTCTTGCCTCAAAAGTTCGGCGCAGGCGATCACAGTGCTCAAGCAGTACCCCTTGTCGCCCCACCGCCCCGTCAAGCTCAGTCTGGCGGTCGGGTCCAGCCTCATGATCCCTGTGCTCAGCAAGCCCCAGAAGCTCCCCACCAAGCGCCCCGCAGGCCCCGCTTTGGAGAACAAAGACTGGGGATCAAAACGGCTGCCGCCCTGGATACCGTGGAGCAGTTCTTGGTTTCGGAGGCCCCTGAGACCAAACAAGCAGCTCTGGATAAAGCGTATGAGATTCTGGTTTCGGAGATGGAGGTCACAATAAGTAAGGCCACGGATGCCCCCCTCCGTCAAGCAGGTCTCCGTTGTGGGCCCCCAAAGATTATCCGGCTGTCTGCGAAAGCTGTGGAAAGCCAACACCGAGCTGAATGGAAAAGTTTTTTTGGCGGCCGACGCGTTGGCTTCTCAACCAGATTTTAGAGGTGCAGCGCGTTCTTGTGCAGTGTGATGTTGGCGCGCTCTCAGATCTGTTGCAGGTGCTATCGGAGCCGCCGCAAGTGTTTTTTGCTTCTGACGAGTTGAGCGCCATGCTCAGCAAAGTGCGCAGCCTCGTGGAAGCGCTGCAGCAGGACGTGCAGGGCAGGGGCAAGGATGGAATTTCTCCAGAAGCCAAAGCTATATTTCGTGAACAGCACGAATTAGTTCTTAAGTTTCTTGATAAAGAAAAGCATTCAGAAGGCCAAAACGCAAGTTCTACGTGGAAGCAGCGGGTCAAAGATCGAATGGCATCGGGGGTTGGATGGGCCCATCGATGGACCAAGAAAAATCAACCTTGGAAGCCAACTCAGGTAAAAACCCATGCTGGAGACCTTTCGGGATGCCCGACGGAACTTTTGAATGCTGAAGTTCGCCGCCCCACGGGCAATTTTTGAAGCTAGAGCCCCAGCAGATCCTCCAGCAGCAGAAGCCCTTCCTCGTATCACCCCAAGGGAGCTCAAGCAGGCCTTGGAGAAGTTTAGTCACGCCACGGCAGAGACTTGGGACGGGATCCACCCCAAGCACTTCGCCCTCCTCTCTTTCCAGCAGCAGGAGCAGTTTTGCAGGCTCCTCAACATCGCGGAGCGCGTCGGGAGTATGCCGTCCCAGCTTCCCTTATACCCACACACAAACCCTCTGGTGATGGCCCCTCCTACCGTGGGATAGGTCTTATGCCAAGTACGCATGGAGTGTGGGGGAGAATGCGGCAAAATGAAGCTAGAAGATGGGAACAACGGCATCGTAGAAGTTTTCTTGCGCATCAGGCGGGGAGGTCTATCCTCGAGCTAGTGTACCAGCAGTCGCTCCAGGCAGAGAGCGGCGCCACCCATGACCCCTCCCTCCACGCTGCCTCTATCATGCGGGGTCTAACCAACTATTACGAACATGTTAATCGTGCTAAGCTTCATCGTCGAGCCCTGGAATCGGGCTTCAATGGTGCCATCATGTCCGTCATCATGAATCAATATCAGAGTCAACGAATGATTGCACTCAATAATCAAACATCATATGCAGGTTATACGTCGAAAGGTATACCCACAGGTTGCAGCTTCGCTACGTTCTTGGTTCAGATGTATTGTTTGGAACCTCTAGATATATGGACATCGAATGTGCCAGTCTCCCTCCATATGTGTATTGACGATATGCTGCTCCTTTTCTCGCACAAGTGCAAGGCCACCCTCATCGCGGAATTGAGGAGAACGGCTGCCAGCATGTTGTGGGCGATCCAGTATGAGCTGGAGTGCTCAGTTGCAGTGGCCAAGGCAGCAGTCTTAGCCACGTCTGTCGACATTCAGAAGAAGCTAGCTAAGCAGGTGGGTAAGTACTCTGGTTCCACGCCAGCGCATGCAGCTAACCTAGGAGTTGATTTTCGAGCAGGTGAAAACGTGGGGGTCACATCCGAAGCAGCAAGCTAAGAGAAAGATGTGCTAAGCTAAAAGCTAGAGTTCCGAAGATTCGAGCGGTTCTCCGAGCAGGGGGAAACACGCTAAAGCTTTATAATACTGGTTTTGGTCAAGCTCAGTTTTATGGTTCTGAAGTTGTTGGAATGGATGATCTCGAACTTAGACAATCCAGAAAATTTATGCTTGACAATTGCTGGCCCTGGGACCTCAACCAGATCGTTTTCACTCGGGCTCTGTCTTCTTGAGGACCCCTGCTGGCGACCAGGTGTAGGGCCCATCTTACTGTGGTCCACGCTCGTCTGGAGGGCCATGACGGGCGAGCACGCGGCTGGTTTCAATCTGCCAGGCCTTCGAGAGATGGCAGCAGCTATTTTAGACGACCCGCCGAAGAAGTGGGTCAGTGCCGAGGTCCTTTCGGCGCAGCGATTCTAAGTGCTACGCGTATCGGTTGGAAGTTTACTAGTCCATTCACCATGAGCGACCAGAATCATCATATACATGTTCTAACAACTACGTCTCCAGCACTACTCCAGTTCTGGCTTCAAGGAGCTTGGGCTCAGCAGCTCAGGACTCAGGCTCCGACGAAGCTTGGCCTGGAAGGCCAGCTGGACGCAAGTGTCGCCCAGGAGCTCCTCAGGCCCAGTACGCTCACGGACTCCGAAAAGGTTACCCTCAAGGCCTTCCTCACCCAGGGGATCTGGACCCATTCATGTCTGGCCAAAGCAGGTTACCCCACGGAGCCCCAGTGCAAATGCGGGCATCGTTCAGATGATCTTCATCATAGGCTCGTGAGTTGTCCCTGCACAGCCGAACTTAGAGACGAAATGTTTTCCCAACATGAAAGAGACCAGCTCCAGGACCCGACCAAGTTTCCGCTCCAGGCAGGCTTCC